TTTTGACAATGGCGAAATCTTTTCAAAAGACTTCATTTTGACATTCGGTAAAATCACGTGGCAAAAGCTATCATTTTGCACAGTTCTAAATTTAGAATTTTGCCCACATTTTGCGCTACGAAATATTTGTGAAATCACACATTTTGCAGATTTTTCGACCGAATGAAAATATAAACTTCAAGTTTTACCGGAATTTAGCGATGGTCCTCTTGCATCAACCACCCTTCCAACGCATCCAAGGTGTAACAGGACTTGATTGCAATATAGGCATGGGCTACGGTATGTGTATTTAATTCCTTCTCCGCGATGGAGAACCCTCATTGAATCTTTCTCAGCTTCTGCGACTCTTCCGTGGACAGATCCGATGTGCGAGGCTTATGGCTACGCGTATTGCGGGGTGAGATGGGATCAAAGTAAGGCTGAGGACGGACAGAGATCGATGTGCGGGATGCAGGCATCTTCAAATGCCTCGTAAGTGTGGTTGCTCTTCCAGCTGAGAAGATGTTACTCACTGACATGGCTCTGCACCAGGACCAAACTTTCTTTGATACCCTGGCATTATGAGGGATGTTTCGGACAAAGTAAAGCATCATCTCCAACATGAGTACTCGACTTTGCCAGAACCGGCGCTCAGTTTGCACAGTTACGAGCCATTCAGGTGATGGACTGTCACAAGGATTTCCTCTATACTGATCAATAATCACGGTAGGACTTTGCCAATAGTACATCAGGAAGCCGGCGGTAGGCGGGACACGAACACGGAGTGTCAGTGTGAATTCGGTGGGGTCACCTTTGACGAGTCCCTGACAGATAATATAAGGTTGGCAACATTTAGGCAAGTCCTGTTAAATACCCACCTCCTCGCATATGACATTGAAGATGCACTCAACATCATCTTGCCACGACAGATATTCAAGACACAGGCCGCGCTTGTGCGGATTGGCGGTGGGTGCCTTGGTCCGCGTCTTTTCTTGTGAAATCCACTCATCAATTGTGTTGGGGATGCCATGCTTCACGCGATACGCGACTTTTTCGTCATAGGTCATCATCTTAGTGTTAATATGAACGAGTGGATAGAATTCATTGTCGCTGAGGCTGCACAGGCGTCTGATGGGCATATCACACTTAGGTATCTTGGTCAGTATGCAAGTATGAAGAGGGTAAGCAATCTTACATGGATATACATCTTGCGGTCAGACATAAGGTATTTAGTGGGGTTAATAGAAATGAAAGCAGGGGGATAACGTTGCATATATATGTATAAGGGCATGATCAGGCATTGAGTCATATTACGCCTGAGTCAGAGCCTTTAGTCGTGTATTCATAATTGGTTGCAAGCAGCATTTTTGGATGGCCGACACCAGACCAGTTAGTCTGTGGCCTGCAAGAACAATATGCAAGCAGTGGAACAAAATGTGATACATTCATATCATTTACAGCACAATAATTGGAAAAAAATACAGAATGACCAATCCCCTTGGCCTGCGCGGGACGACAGAATAACAAATACAGCTCCAAGAGTCGCGCTGGGTAAATGTACTAGGACCAATCCTGCATCAAAGCAGTAAATCAGAATGAGAGAACAAAATTGAGGTCAAACAACATACAGGTTCGATCATCATATTATTGACGGCCGGCCGGTGTCGACGTACCAAGCTGGCGACCGAAAGTGCAGAAGAACCTGTCGAAGGGCTGTACTTGAGGGGTGCCCAGTGCGTGCGTTCCATCAATTGGCAGATTGCTTTTCTCAGCGGTTGCCCAAAATGGTTGTTCAACTGCTCGACTATTTGCGGCGGAGTCCAATCAGGAAGAGTACATGGCGTGATGGTTCTATGCGAGCCTCTGGTGACGAATGACTGGCTTGATGCTACTGGTGAAATAGTCGACAGGAGTCGTGCACACACAGGACAGCAGCGCTTCGACGTCCCAATAATTCCCCGGTAGTGCTATCAACGAAAATGAGGGGGAAAATATGCAGAGCATAGACTGCATAGCTCACCTGCAATTCGTCCAGAAGTGTAGAGTACTGCGGGTGAGTCTCATCGATATGAGTGCTAATGAGGGTTCCAAGAGCAGCCTCGCAATGAAGCGAGCCTGTGAATTTAGTTGCGGCAAGCTTGATGAAGATCGTACAGAGATCAATGATGTAAAGCAGTTGATCGGTGACTCTGGTGGTTCGAACAGAATCAGCCAGAATGTCCGAAGTAGCGCCCTCTAGGACACTAAGGATATCGGCTGCGGTCTCTTCACAGCCTGGAACATCGGTTTCACGCCGCATCTGGGACACGATACGAACCACACGGTCGACAAGGGCCTGATGGTCGGAGCTGAACTGATAAGTGTTCAATATCCCTTGCCATGCGTCACGGGCAGCCCGAGCGTGACCAAGTGTGATATGACGGTTTGAATTTGTGCCTTTTTCCATAAATTTTGCAATTTCTTCGTTGTTCCAAAGGCGAGAACCAACTTGATATGGTGACCGTATGGGAAAGAATTTTTTGTCTGCCAGGAGTTCCTTCCAGGGCATCAGGTCGCTACCAACTTGTGGACTTTTCAGTATTTGGAGTGAGATGCGAGAATTGGAAGGGAGTTCATAAACGAGCATGTAGGCGGCACTGAACTGAGACACCAGCAACTTGATCCATTTCAGAGCTGCAACGTGTCCAACTTCAGATTTGATCTCCTCAAAGTCATCCTCATCCTTAATATCAGGCTCCCCATCATAAACATCGTCAGTTGTGTCGTCGGCCGGATCCTTGGGCTTTGCACTAGCAACAACATGACCGTCGTCACTGGGATCCTCTTCTTCACTAGAATGCTCGAACCCATCAGCTCCGTCCTTGTCAGGCGCGTTATCGCGACCGTCATCCAGTTTCTCCTCGCTGAGAAGGTTATCGTGCTGGTACTCGTCGTGGGGAGAATTGTGCAGCTCTTCGTCAAAAGGGTTATTGTCCTCGTCGAAAGGGTCATCAGCCTGGTATGCGATTAAGTCGTCGTCACTGTGAGAGATGTCGACCTCGTCCTGAATGGGATGTATACCTGCTTCGTTCTCCTGACTCTTGGGAAGAGCTGACGTTGCTAAGCCAGAAAGCGAGTTCTCGATAGTTTGCAAGTGCATTCGAAGGGCGGCGCCTGTGGTTAGCCTCTGAAGCCAAACTCCGGCCCACAAGACATTGGCGACCGCCTTTTTAAACGTTTCTTTGGAAGGCCCGTCGTTTCCTGTCGCAGTCTTCATTCGCTCAAGCTCCTTTCGGTAGTTTTCCAGGAGGGAGAGTAGCAACTGATGGAATTCCTCGAATGTGTCTTTGTCATAGATGCTGGTGAAATGATCTGAGGATGCAGTTTTGGCGAACAGGTAGACATTTGTCAAGTGTGTGTATGTGTAGTCCTGGGGGGGCCTTTCTTCAGAAATTCCGCCAAACATTCATTATCGATTACAATCTCCTCGTTCGTTGGAGTAGTGTCGGGTTTGGCCTTGTCAAAGTCAATCTCTTTAAGATTGACATTGCGCAAGGCTGGAAGAAGGGTTCTGATCGTGCATGACATATGCGCCGGGCCAACTTGCGGAAGCATGCGATGACCACGTAGAGCATGAGTTGTTTGAGGGACTGCTCTTCCCTTTGATGTATCCGTGCATTAAGGATCTTCTGAAGCATCCAAATATGGTCGTCCAGCAAGATGGATTGAGACCTGTGAAGGAGTAAAAATGTAAGAATGCAATAGTATAACAGAAACAAGCAGTATTTACCCTTGTGAAAGGAGGACGTTGCTCATATAGAAATTGAGAATATTGAAATCGCGACTACTGGTGTTATCGGGGTGGAAGCCCTTCCTGAATTCCTTGAACTGACTGGGAACACCTGGTGTCGAGAGAATCGGTTGGGTAGATGCATTCTTATCATCGAAACGGGGGTTCTGGGTGAAGACGCCATTCATATTGCCTGTGGGGCCTTGTAGAGCCTGAGGTTTGGAAGTGACGATGGCCCGCACAGGATCTGAGGGATTAGCAACGTCATCGTCATGCCTGACTACCACTGCGAGAACCTCATGCTCAAGGACAGCCAAGGAGGCAAATGCAGAGGACAATCCGAGCTGTATTTTCTCCTCTTTCCTAAGCCGGGTGTGACCTGTGTCATTGCGCGGCTCAAGGAGCATGAAAGCCGCGCTCAAATGCATGATCGTTCGGAATGCGAGTATATCCTTGCGGCGATCTTGGGTGTTTGTTTCTGGATTTTTGGCTTCATGGTGATGGGAATCTGCCGCCAAATGTTAGGCCTCCGGGTGTTCGTTCCATCCAGTATTCAATGAAGCCCTCACCAGCTGACGGGCTCTGGATCTGGGTCGGCGGGGAGGCTGTCTCCCCCTGGTGCATTGGATACATGGTGAATGAGGGTGCAGGATTAGGGAGGTGGACAGTGGTGTGGATAGATGTTCACAGAAATCGCTGCTCGCTGTGGAATCAGATAGAAGTTCACAGAAAGTCGGTGTTGGAAACTTGGAACCCACCAAATAAGGTAAATTCATTAATAATCACGGCATATCAAACATGAGGCTCTCGTTCAAAACTCTAAACTCTCAAAAATAAGGTCAAGACCAAGTCAAGACCGTGCTCAAGTTATCTCTTACGGTATTTAAAACAGACAATAATATATCTAAGTTTTTCATTGTATTGACAACATTTGTTGTGAAGTTACATAAACAGTCACAACGTCTCCAGTTCACGCCAAGTAGTTGATATTCTTTCAGAGAGACAGTCTTAGGCAACAATTTAGGTTGACTGGTTAGATAACTTAACATATTGAAGGTCTCGTCTGAAGAGCTGAGAGGTAGAAGAAGGGGACCGCGGATGGGCCGAGCAGGGAATATTACTGAAGACACTACAGAACATCAGTCGTCATCGTCGCCGTCCTCTTCTACTTTCGCGAGTTTCTCCAGGCATATAGATTACAGACATGAACCCTCCTTCAGAGGCAAATCTTCAAGGTCTTTTACAATAACAAGCCTCCTTGGCTCAGTTGGCTAGAGCGTTGGTCTCATATCGCGTATATGAGTAACTTAATTTATGTAATCCAGAGGTCGCAAGTTCGAGCCTTGCAGGGGGTATTTTTTGTTGTCCCTTTCTGATTAAACGCACACTGTAATCGGAGAGCAGGCGCTTAATTATTTTCGGGTGGTAAATAAGCGATGTGAAATGTATCGCCGGCAAATGCGATTAGATTAGAGGATATCTGGAAATTATCCACAGCATGCTTAGAAGTTGCGCAGCTACCTTTTGTAAAATTGTTTGCAATGCATTGAATCGTAGGATCAAGAAGTTGCAGATTCCAGATCGTCGCCATACATAAGCGCGAGCATGAGCCTCGTTTTTGTCCATGTCGAATAGCCGACGCTTCAAGCTTACGAGAAAGGCCGTCTCGTCAATTCAAAGGCAGTGTTCAAATATACGTTAATCTGTATTGCCACCATTCGAAGGTCTATGTCCAACTTCGCATTTTCATGCTCTTCCGCTTGTATTTCATGTAAAATTAGAATAAAGTTAACCTTACTGTACCTAAGTCTGAAGAAAAATTCTATGTGCAGGGATCCATTGAGACAGAGGGAGGTAAATGGACCAAAGTTGGGCGGCAAAGTTGGGGGCAAAGTTGGGCGGCAAATCGTGCTCCCGACCACGATTTGCACCTCAATTTGTCTTCCAACTTGATCAAAGTTGGGATCAAAGTTGGGACCCAAGTTGCACCCAAGTTTGGCTGTCGTGAAACACCCTATTGGAGAAGGCGCAGCCATCATCGAGCGAGGTGCATAAGGGACTGGGGTGAAGTTAGGCGGCAAATTTTGCATGCTAAATTCGTCAAAGCCTGAGGGCGGTCCAAAGCGGCGCGCTTTCTGAGGCGGAGGTTCACCGTGAGGTTGGCGGTTTGGCGGACCACTCTCCTAGTGGATAAGACTTTCTGACAACCTCGGACGGACGTTTGGTTAGTACCTATAAGATTGCCCGATACGAACACCATCACAAGAAACAATCTATCAACAAGGAACTGCTAGAAATAACGCGACTTTTTTGGATTCCGATATTTGAGAGGGAGTATATGGTTGTATATTTACGGTAAGCACTAATTTACTTTCGTCTCCGCGTAGGCGAACTGTGTGCATTCAAGGTCTTCCTCACTCTCTGCGACTCTTTGGCAGAAAGCTCGGATGAGCACTTCTTGTGCCTACTTGTATTGTAGGAGAAACGTGCTTGATGTCTAGAGATTGTTATGCCAGATGCAGGAATCTTTGACTAAGTGGTAAGTGATCACAGGCCTCTTTAGATGTAGGAATTACTCACCGCGATAGCCTTGCACGACATGTTAACTTTCGAACATAATTGGGCATTTTCGGGAAGGTCAGCCACAAAATAAAGGATCAAATGTAGCATCGGACTGCACGCCTGCCAGATGTTGCATTCAAGTCGGTGGGCTTGAAGGCACTTGGGTGCATGGACATCATCTTCTTTTCCGGGAAATGTATCGGTGACTACGATAGGACTGTGGGTGTATAGTGTCAAGAAACCTGAGCTCGAAGGGACAGGAAGGCGGAGGGTAAGTCTGAATTCATTGCCGTCTTCGAACAGCCCTTCCACGGGTGCCTGGTGAATAATTTCAACAGGAACTCCCAAGTAAGTCTGGACTCTCGCCTACCTTCTGTTTCACATGCAGAAATTCTACATCGTCTTGCCGAAATAGATATTGCAGAGGCCGGTCGGGCAAAAGTGCATCAGGTGCGACAACATGGTGCATTTCCCCGTTGATGCACTTGTCAATGGTGGTAGACTGCTGTGGTGACCGAGACATCTTTGATGGCTTTTTGGGTGAAAGGTGGATGAGAGGAAATGCGTCTTCTCCACTGAACTGGTGTTGCAGAGATGATCAAACGCAGGACCTTTAAACTGCAAATGGGTAAGGAGTCAGGGTCAGAGTCCGATGCACGAGTCATATCTTGGCGGGTCATATCTCCCTGCGCATGGGTCTGCCCATTGATTGACTTCGGACCATATTGAAAAATAAACTCACTTGGTTCTTGAATAAATTATAAGATTCTCCCAGCCGACTTCCCATTTTTCTTTGACGGTGGTACCCAACTTGAAGATATATGAAACCTTCATATTGGCATCGATGGTTGTTAGGCTGACGATTGGAAAGGGCAATGGCAAGCACACCAGCAACCGCATCCGCGTGAAGCCAGTGCATTTACCAACTGAGCCGAGGAGGCTGTTTGTCACTAGATTGCTTGAAATTCGAGGACAGGACATCCTGAAGACATAGAATAAGTGACTATTGACGTATTTAATTTATACATGGAGAAAAGTTAGAAATAATTGCGACGGCAAATAATTCGGACGAGCATGCTGCATCTCTACTTGTAAAGTAGAAGAAAAGGCAGGAAAGAGATGTGCGATTATAAGACGGTCGAACGCGTCATCGAGCCGTGTTGTCAATGTCGTTCAACTTCAACATGTACAAACAGTTCGCTCGCGCTTGCGAGCGAACTGTTTGCATGTGTTTTGAACAATCGTGTTGGCGCGTGCCACGTGGTCAACATGTACAACTTCAAGCATCTCAGTGCGCGAACATGGTGCGCGATAACAGCAACCCATCCCCAATCTTGGATTCGACAGTGACGCACCTTTGCGCCTATGATCCTGTTGCATCAACCACCCTTCCAACGCATCCAAGGTGTTGACTTTTTCTTATATATACAATAGAACAACTGGGAATGACCACATATTCCCCATCCAGATTCCTGAGTGGTTTTACGCAATTCAGTTGAAGGAGATCCTGAAATAGCCCGACGTCCTCCTTGAATTCCTGCCTCTACTCAGGTGTCATTGGAGGCCGCATTTATTTCCTTAGTATTCCGACAGCCGTTGAACCACGAACCTCTAAACTTCTGGGGATCCCAAGACAAGAAAACCAATTGGCAGCGTATCCGCCTAGCCATTCCGAATCCTACACCCGCAACTCATGGTCAGGACCGCCAATTCTCTAAGTCAAATGGAAGGATCTTGGTTGCCAACAGATGGGCCAGCGACATACCTGATGATTCACTGAAATCTTTTGCTCTCTTCAAGAAAAGACTTGGGTGGCTGTTTACCCGATGACTATTACAGTTTGTAAGTGTCTATACCTGCCACTCAATTTGAGCATACCGATGACCAGTGGTTCCAAAGCGTTCTTGGTACTCACTTTCAACAGGCTCTTGCTCTCTGCTACGCTTCGCGAGAAGCCAATCCTAATCACAACAACCAACTAAAAACATCCTGTCACTCAGTTTCTCGCATCATTAGGTGAAAGGGAATTACTTCCTCCCGATTCACCCAACGACCCGTCAAGAAAAGACCACGGCGAGGCCGGAGATGTCAAACTACTCGACAGCCTTGAGGAAGTCAACCTACGCTGCCCCACATCGTCACTGGTGCAAGCGGTGCAACTGCATGTGGTGTGTACGATATGTGCACAACGGACACTTGGAGGATGGAGTTGTGCTTGCCGGGCAGTGAGTCAACTTGTGACTTGCGTGACAGGTCCCGCCACTCACGACACCCCAAAAGTTTTACTTCTTAATCTTTCCCTTCATTTATGGCCCGAGGACGGAAGCCAAAACACGTATTGCCTGACTGTAAGTTCGAGTAGTGGACTTCATTATTTATACTTATACTGCAATTTCAGTTGTACAGTTATCGGACGATGGCAAGAAGGTCTTATGCCAGCTATGTCACACTGGAACTGGGACCACGGGCAAGGGATGGATGAGGAAAGACAGTCTCCCTAATCACTTGAAGTCAGACACCCATGCGAAATGTCACAGCGAACAAGAGATCTCTCAATCCATTCAGAGAGCTGGGGATCGAGCTATGAGGGAAGAAAGTACAATGGAAGAGACCATGGACCTCGTTACCCTTACATCAATCACTCAATCTGCAGTTGCGACAAAAGAACAGGTTCCAAGACCAAGTGACGAAGAAAGAGCAATGTGGGACGACTTCATGCACTGCACTGAAGTCTTCGATGCGGGAGTTGAACATATGCTTGATGCAGCTGAAGAGAGAAAGCGTTTAGAACGGGAGGCTATTGAATTCGATCTCTGGCATGACTCCCTGCCAGAACAGGACTTAAACATTGGAGAAAGCGTGTTGGATGAACTAGAACGAGAGGATGTCCTGACTGAGCTTTTGCAGAATGCACGTACGTATTCAGTGCATTGTTGTTCTGGATTTCAATGACCTCATCTCTGGCATTAGATTTGGATCAACCCGATGCGGCGGACCTCCTTAATGAAGAGTTGGGAGGTGCACATCAACCTCAAACTCATGATGCTTGGTTTCCATATGAATCAAAAACGGTAAGCTAACCAGCTAACACTCTAACCACTGCTTAAACTCATCCGTCTCGTATTTTAGATGTTCCTCCTTGACACCCTTGACAATCTCCCGAGGATGAAAATCTCTAACTCTCTCATGAAGGTCTTGCTATGGATACTCCGTGAAGTTGGCGCTCGTGATGTTCCCACTTTATATCGCCTTCGGCAGGTGCAGGCCACACTACGGAAGACTGGTGTACCGACTATACAACACAAGTCCCCAAAAGGGAATATCTACTCCATAAACGACCCACGTACTCTTGTGGTATGGTGTGCAACGCAATCGTCTTTACATCAGCGATCAAACTCACATGTCCTTTTCTGCCTAGGATTGGGCCAATCCCACTGTATGCGATTACATCCGTCGTTATCCAGTAATTCCCCCAGATGGTGTAATATCAGAAGTATATCATGCGCAGAAGTGGATGGAGGTTGATCCCCACGTTTTAAGCCCTATGTATGATGCTGGCAACTGCCACTACTACATTGATGAGCTTGCTGTCCTTAAGAATGGAAAGTTCATCATTCCACTGCGGTGGTTGGAGGATACAGACAGAAAAGTCTTTGCAGATGCTTATTCTGTTAAGTTTAATTCACTGGTACGAGGTTTTCTCTTATGAGTACAACCGGTTCAAGGCACTAAATGTACCACAGTCTGTTGCCAGTGTGGATGATAGCAAAATGATTCGAGTTCAGGCTTCAGA